GTACTATATAGTATATATATACGTATATATATATATATATATATATTAGCTACTAGAGACTGTGGAGAGTTGGGGTATGGTAGTATATAGCTGTATATAGAATATTGCCACTGAAGTCTCTTGAAAGACCCAAGGGAGTGTGGGATTAAGTTTCGTGTGTGTGATTATGTTGAATGAAGAACGTATTTGGAGAGCTCCATGTCAATTTTCATGTAGATACTGGTCTGTATATTAGTTGTACTGTAAATCGAAAACTCAAGGTACGGTGGTACATAATACATATCTATACAGATTCTATTCATAACAAATTTATACCGTACTGCTCAATCTACCATGTACACTATGAGTATTTGCAAGGCCCAAGGTATATTGGACGATAGTATTTAGCGACCACTTGAAATTCTTTTACGAAGACCCACAGGGCTCTTATACAGTTGTTATTATATTTGAAGACAAAACTATATTCATATTCGAGCACTGAAGGTATAATATAAACTACTGATCATTGTTAAATATTAACAAAAGGGTTTCTTGTCATTAGCAGGCTTATGATAGAGTAATATGCAGTTCATAGCTATGCTAGTATCATAGCCACTACAACCACTTGCAAAACCTTTCGTATATATGATTGGCATCTAACCGTTTCAAAAAAGGTCTCATACTCTACGGATCGGTAAATAAAGCTATATAGAGTCAAGCCCATCTGTTATCCTACATTGTTCATATAAAATACACCGACCTAATCAAGTTAATCTATACTCATATACACGAACAGACACTCCAGGAGGTGTGCACACAGCCGCAAGTGAACACAAGAACGAGGACACATCGTTCTTATTCCCAGCTCTGCCGGAGGGAGATGGGACGCCTGAGGTGATACTATCAAGCGCTGGGGAGTACCGGTTGCTGAACTGTGGTGATGAATAGGATGAGGTTGAGCTTAAAAGAAATAAATAACGTTAAAGTACACAGATGCAACTTACAACTGCCACAAATGCACACATGGCAATGTACACGCACGCATCTTAAATACGCACATTGACTGATTTCGCTTGCCAATGTTTGTTAATTTGATACTGCTAGATAATACGCAAGGCCATATGCCGTTCATAATTTCATAGCACCTCATAGTAAGCCAATCAACGCCTTCTAGTTAGATAGGCCAGCATGTAGTGCGGAACTAAAACTCATTTCTACTTCAAATAGGAGCCACATCTATGAGATGCTCGAATATGGGACGGGGAATCGGGAGCTCTGCGATAATACTCTACGTAAAATGGGTACAATTCCCAAGAGTTTAGAATAGTTTATTTACTTCAATCTGTTTCCGCGCAATACAGTGTAGATATGCACAATATTTACACTATTCTATCTGTACCTAATTTTCGGAAAATTAGATCAAATACGAGACTCTCCAAGTAATAATGACGAATCCTGTCACAAAAATCTACACTACTATTATGATAGCTTTGTACAGCTGTGTGCCCTGGGAGGGATAATCGCATTTGGGCGACATTATAACAGCATTTGGGTGACAGAAATACTCCCAGAATACAAAACGCATATTGAAGTTCATAAAATCTTGTAGTGTATCCAACTGATGTTGCTAGCTAGCATGTATATTATGACAATTGTCTGATGGACAAAATGCTTCCTGGTGATTGTTCACAAGTATTTAAACATCGATCGCAAGAGAAAGGAAAGACTAAAAACAGCTGTATTATTAGATCAAGAAGACAGTACAATTCTCCATAGTTCACAGAGTAGAGTCATACACCATGTCGTTGCCGTTAAGAAGTTAGCCTCTAAATCATACAATTGAATCCTGAAGGCTATACACAAGTTCGAGAATCCGAACGATTGGAAGTCGAAATATGCGTCTCTACCTCTCTGGGACTGGAACATGGGAATTGGGATGTATGTACCACAATCAAACTCGACACTCGAGATTCGAGTTTTCGACACTCGTGACGTTGTCGACTCATGAGCCGTGACTCACGGACTCACGGTGCACAAAGTGACGAGGGTTTGCCTTTTGTTAGCTTGGTACCATCAGCATATTTATTTGTTTGTATTTTCAATATAACAATGTTTAAAATAAAAAAATAACATATATAGAAACAGACTAGATAAAATAATAATATTTGATCATACGTAGCCTCCTTGATATTTTTTAGAAGGGTATGAAATATTACATACAAATAAATATTTTATTGGTTGATTTTGTTTTTGGTTAAATTCTTTAAGAAAAAAAGCGGAAAAGCCGTGCATAGTGAGCATTGAGCCACTGACTCACTGAGCCGTCAACTGTCACTGTCGAAAGCCCTTTTTGTTTTTTAAAAAGAAATTTAGAAAACAGTTTTACGTTTTTAGAATCTTTTTATTACAGTAGAGATTTTACCTGTCCACCAATCAACAGTTCCGTTTGCTACCTTATTATATAAACTACTTCTCTTTTACTCTAAGCAAGACTCCCAATATTTCGACGCTTTTAACTTCCCGCCGACGCAAGCGGTGATTTATTTTATTCAATTGATTGAACTCTAAAATGTTGTCAAAATTTAGTATAAAACTATGAATGATAAATATTTAATTTAGACTTTGCGACTTGCGTGTTTTTCTGTTTTTGTTTAGACTCTTTTGTGATTTCAAGATTTGT